TTCCGTCCAGGAGCCAAGGAATCTGTCGCCGATGAGAAGCGCCTCGGTCGTCTTGCCGTTAGATCAGCTGATCTCCTCCTGCAACGTAACCTTGAGATACGTATCCGCAATCTTCACAGCACTCGTAAGTCTCGTATGAATCAAGGTGAAGGGAACTTGGAGGGACTGAGGCTCAGGTTTCAGAAATAGACTGCCTAATGGAGAGAAAAAAACGGGCGACCAACAAGGAAGCCAAATACCCCGGTAACTTCCTAGCATCCACTAACGTTAGTTCAGGGAAGGAGTCAAGCATTGGAATTTGGGAATGACTGCCTGTCTGACTGTTCGAGACACCCATTTATTTGGAAGGAGGCTAAAAGCCGACAGGACATAATTAGAGAAGGAACACGACAACACCATCAATCCACAACCGCGGTTTCCGATTGCGCCTCTTGGGGATAAGATATCTACATTTGTCCTTTATCTCCGTGTTAGTCTGTTTGATACATTCCTTCGCTCGGGTACATCTACCGTTTACAATGCTGACTCTTAGAATGCCACTTATTCAAGCCCTGTACAGGGGCTAGAGGGGTAATGACTAGGTGCTTCTCAGTGGCACGGTTATCATTAACCGTTAACCGATCCTGTCTGGCCTGTCTACGGAGTATCAAGCCTCATCAATGTTGGATTGAATCATCAAAATTTGATGGTGTTGAGGTGACCTGCACGTTGATGTCACTGCCTGATCGATCTATGCTGGATCGATAGCAACGGTCTCAAGTTCCAAAGGCATGTACAGTAGACAAGGAGCCAAGAAACTCTGCATGTCTCCCCATCTCACATATCACAGTGACTTTATGTATAAGCAGACTGGATGTTGTTACGCAAGATAAGGTATGTTTCGGGGTTTTCTCATTATACACACGAAACTGCACAAGTGTTGCGAAACCCTTGACGATAATAACAAGCAATCCAACTGTGAGTGAGTGAGTGAGCTGGGGCAGCTGTCAGAGTGGGAATACTCGGATTTGATGACCAGTCAATCTGGCAGATGAGGATGAGTCCCCATGGCGTTCATCACATCCTTACACCGCAACGTAACTGAAGATGAAGGCTGACAAGAAGCCAGCCAATCCGTTTCCCTATCACGAAGTGACCTGAGCCGCGATCACCAAATTGAATTCATGGCTCATTTGTGAGCGCGGCGGGTATAAACTGGGGACGGACGGAGGGTTCGAGTTGATCAGGGCACCATCCACAACTCTCAAGTGTCTTGGTGTGACTGCGACTGTGACTGGTCACCTTTCCAACCATGTCGGCATTCCCACGTGGCTCCATGACTGAGCTTGTCGTGCCGTGCAAGGAATCCGCTGCACGTAAAACTGCCATACAGATACGAAGCAATGGGTCCCCTCCTTCGCTTCGAAACACCGCCTCTCAAATGCGTACGGAGGACGGACACGACGGTGCAACTCCGCTTTATTGTTTCTATTATGTGGATATATGATCTGATCAAATAGGTATTTCTGAGTCTCGGACAGCGGTACATTATGGGACAACAAGGCTATCAATATCCCTGACAAGACATGACGCGTTTACGCGCGCATTTCACACGTTTGTCAGCGATCAGCGCCATCTGAGTCCAGTACCGGAGAGGTGGTAATGAAGTGGCGGTATTGACGATTTGCAGATCCCCAGTTGAAGAAGAAGCAACAACACCAAGAACAAAACAAAGAAAAGCAAAAACGAACGAGGGTGGGAGGCGTGATTTTAGCAGTAATTACCTGGTTGGTTCTGGCGGGGTCCGCCACGTGGGTTTAGAGGGAGCCACGCGTTTGTGACAACCAAGCTGTGGAGTCGCTTAGGCATCTTTTTCTCTCTCTTCACTGTAACCTACGTATCATGCTCACGTTCTAGGCCTTCTATCTGCCCAACAATCCCGGAAACTTGTCACGGCAGTTCAAGCGATGCTTCTCAACTCACCAATTGTACCGGTACTAGTCGACGCTCAGTCAAGGCGTCGCCGTTGATTTGCCTCTCTTTTTCTTCTAGGCCCTCGCTATCCGAGAGTCTGCCGATGTCAAAGCTGCTTGTGCTACCGCACGATCCACTACAGCTCTTCAAGCTTCGGGATGACTTCTCGTTGGCTGGCCTTGCCTGGGCGGATTGTTTTGATCGTTCAGAACGATTGGCCATGAAGACGTGCATGAAAGGCTTAGACTGAAGCGGGCGGTTCGACTTGACGGTTTTAACCCAGAGTCTCGTTGCGGTTCTGCATTGAGAGCCATGAACCATAAAGAAACGCTTTGCAACTCCAAATTGAGCACCGCATGACGCATCATTCCTCGGTGGCAGCTTGGTCGTCGTTGGACTTGTCCACGATACCTTGGTCAAAGTTTCACATGTACCGTACATCCTGTACTTACGGACTCTGCGGAGCCCGGACACCTGGGTAGGTACGAAATCGTAAACAAAGCGCCCAATCCGGTCGACAAAACGTTCAGCCTTCTCGTGGAGTCACGAAACTTGTGTATCATGAACATCCATTGTTTCGCCAGATCCTTCCTTCTACGCACCAACAACATTCGCGAAAATCCAACATCTGCAGGGTTCCAAATCAATCTGATTCTGTCCCCCTGTTCATGCTGCTTTTTAAGTTGCCACGCGAGAGGGTACAATGTACTTTGCCATGTGCATGGCACGAGGTAAGCGATCACGGAAGAGATCCGTCTAACCATTCCGGGATGACGATATCCACAAAATCTGCAGACAATCCCGTCTTGTTCAAAACATCAGATCAGACAACCAACAGTTTCGCTCCCGTCACTTAGACCAGAGGCTCTGACTCGATATCCTAGCTTACTGGTAGCCGCGGATACAGCTGCCTGATGGATGCTCTCTCATTGCAGATTGACAGTCACGTGTGACCGCAAATCTGAGCTTCCAGCACGATTCATGCTCATGCCTACAGCCTTACCGTTATCCTGGTTCGCCTGCAAAGACAACGGCCTTGTACGATCGCCAGCTAGACGGCTAGTAGGCCTGCTGGCGCGAGCTCCTGTGGTACGGCACTTGGTGATTACGAAATTGTCGGCATTGTAGCAGACCCTTCATATCGGCACTCAAGTACAGGGTTAGGCACGGCGAACCCCGAACTCCAGTGCAAGCGTAACTATATCATATCTATTATATGGTCCCTCCACCGGATATGAAAACGAGCAAGGTCAGGCTACGGAGGTACGAGTTTCGAGTCGGCGAACTAATAACAACTCCTGTACAGCACGGCGGCAGGCTAGGATGCGCCCTTGTAGAGTGAGGCCTGGCCATTGACTAGCCTTGCGGACAGCAGTACGCGGCTAGCGGGCGATCTGGTAGACGGGAGCCAACATTCGGGATTGATTTTCCAGGTCCGAATCACGTCTTGGCTCGACGATATGTGTATCTTGGTATATAAGATATGCATGTCGACAGGCATGTCGCTATAGAGCGCTAGAGGTTGTAGTTCTCAGCCGTGTGATGCAACTCGTCTGAATGGCTAATGGTTGCTTCAAACATGCAGCGAGTGCCCCCTATTTCCTGGGCTGAAATCCGTGCTCAACCTCTTTTCCAAGCGTACTATCCACCAAGTCCACCCACCGCGGGAATCCATCGTGCGATTCCACTCACTAGAAGCCGTCGGCCGCCAAGTGGACAATGCTTGGGCGCCATCTCTCTTAAACCACGGAGCATTTCCTATTCAACATGCTGAATGCTACCTTATTGCATGCGGTGAACAAAGGAATGAAATTATGTGAGGTTTATCGCGGCTGTGCTCACTGAAAAGAGCTTCGACTCCTGTGTCGTGGCTAAGACCTCATTACGCTACTTGTTATCATTGCCCCAAGACATAAATGGCCAAATACGCGCCATCATATTCGAATTTTGACTACCAGCGGTATAAAATTGGCAGGGCTTGACTCAAGTGCACCTAGTGACCACCTGATACATAGCTCTGAACAGGTTTTCCCACGACCTTCTGACGATCTCCCAGTCTGACAGCCCGGGAATATCTTGGACCTAACAAAAACGACTGACTCGTGTGCTGCACCTCTTGACCTCCCCCCAGACTCGCCAGTAGCAAGCTCTGTGTGGGGAACACTCTTAAGGAATAAGCTGAAGGTTTTTAGCTCAAGATTGGTCGCCCGAGTTCAAGCTCGACATTGGATAGAAGCTCTGGACCAAGAGGTTTTGCCTTGGGGGTGTGCAGTGCCGATCGACAAGGTCAAGCCCTACTTGCCGCTACATACTGACATAGACAAGTCGCTGTCATGTAGCTACTGGGGTCTTTGTTGCGGGCGTAGATACGGCGGTTTCTGCAACCTTTCCAGCCTGTAGGATCTGCGCAAATCGATATGTCGTGACTAAAACTCGCGATGCGTTGCTCTGTTTGGAGAGCTTTGACTCGGTGAACTGTAGAGTTGGCTAGAGAAGCATGTGTGTGCAATTGATATGTGACCGTCCAGTCGGATATTATGGAGGAAGTAAGCTATCGAAAGGATGCAGTTTCGTGCCAGCAAGTCGATGCTGCTCCTTGGGTATCATCGTCCATAATGAGGGTAAGAGTTTGGCATCGCGGAGTCGGAGACGTTGAAACGACATCTATATGCCGCTGACACAACAGTAGCAACAGGGTAACGTCTTACTCCAGAATCAGAACACTTCAACACTTGCTGATGCTATACCGACACCCGCTGTAAAAACAAAATATCAATTGACCTGGGTTCTGAAATCCTGTATGCCACTCGCCACAGATCGTATAACTAGACTAGATAAACATGTCTACATAGCAAGAAACCGTTCTAACGCCATCGCTTTTAATCCCCTGTACCTCGCCTTTACCCTGTAGGCATGTTCGGTACAGACGGGAATGCAAGTCTTTTCTCTCCCATTTGGACCATAGCTCCATTATGTGAAGCAACCATCCACTGGGAGCCTCGTGTCTTTAGCAATACTTCATGTACATAGAAATGCGAGTCCTTCGACTATATCGATGAGGGAGCCCTGTCCTTTTTCCAACCCCTGTATCGCATGTTCTCTTCAATGGCCCTCCAGATCTGCTCCACGATCTCCTTATCACGGAATCGTGAAGCGTCGTGGCCTTCTCCTCGCCATCGGTCAATACCAGTAGATAGGACGCGGTGACCCCAGTTGCGGATATTATCCGGAGCTGACTCTCCTCGCCAACCGACATAGACGCCCAGTGTGTGCTTGAAGAGCTCGTTAGGGTCACTCCACTTGTAGTTCTTGAACTGCCAAGTCTGGCCAGTGGTAAGGACTGCCACGATTCTGTTCCAGTATTCGGGCTTGAACGCTTCAGGACCCTCTACAAGAATGAAGCGCATTGGGCGATTTGGGTCAATGGAGGGGATGATGCGCTGCACATGAAGCATGTTGCTCATCGCACCACCTCCATCAGTAGGCACGAACTTGCCGTCCTCGAGGAACGATCGAGCATTTGATAGGCGAAGCAAAGAAGAAGCAGAAGGAGATAGAAGAATAATAGGGTCTGGACGTCTTGTAGGGGGTTTTTGGTTAAGGGCGAGTGATGGGTTAGTGGGAATGCTGGAGCTAGACTGGTATTTCTTCTGGATGAATGGCGCAGCAAGTTTGCGAACATGGGAGAAGTCCTAACGAGGTCAGACCAAAACTCAAGGATTTCTCAGGTCGCAAGGACTTACCGTAGGTTTGATGCCCCTTAGAACGGTGTTGCGATCGCCCATCTTTCGTTCGCTATTGTAGATACCAGCCAGTCTCGGGTCCATAGTACCACGACCAGATCGCGACTGAGCAGTTGAAGTCACTGCGCCCGTCGTCGTAGCTGTGGTCGCGCCAGCAGCCGTCGCATCTTTGTCACTAGGCAAAGGCTTGATGTACTCGCTCTCTTCGCTAGCACCCTCGAGCCAAGTAATCAGATCCAGACGCTCAATGAAACCCAAATTTTGAACCTTCCCCGAGCCACCAGCGGCTGCCAGTTCTTCGTTGAGCTTTGTCGCGGAAGCATTGTATTCAGGAATAGCGACTTCGCGATTCAGCCAAGCAAAGTAGATACTGCGCAAGTCGACAGGCTTGTCTTGCGACACAAAGCGCGTCGGGTTGTCGATGGGAACGGCGACATCCCGATCGGGGAATCGCAAGTACGTCGCCTGGGATAGAGGAACTTCGGTCGCAGAAGCATCAGCTGATGCTGTGGGGATGAAGGGCGCGTTGGAGGAGATGGATTGGCGAAGGAGGACGAGTCCATCGAGGTCGGCGGCGGACGCCATGATGAAGATGGACGCGCGGGAATAGGGAGCACAGCTGAAAGAGACTCTATGTGTTTGTGCTGGTCAAGAAACACCAATTGACGAATAGTAGAATCTAAATGGTTCGCGAATCGAGAGTCTAGCGTGTTTGTTGCTGGTGGAGCTTTGATGAAGTGAAGATGAAAGGCTGAAGCTGAGGCTGCGCCTGGAATTTTGGCAAGCTCCCTTAGCTTGACCTATGCCGGGCTGTCATTGGTTGAACACATATGTGGCCAATCAACGGTCTATAAACTCATCTCCAACTTCAACGTCAATTGACAGCAGAGTCAGCACCAATCCACGTTCTGTAGGATGATGCGACTGGTCGCCCCGTGTTTTGCATTGTACTCATCAAGTAGATCATGTTCCTGGTGGTGTTGACGTTGATCCGTTATTACCGTCATACCCGGGCAGCTTGACTCGACTACGGTACTCGAACTGCCCTAGGGTAGGTAAATTACTCGGGGAGTATTGCTAGTCAGAACGCTACCAAAGTATTGAACAACATTTCATGTGACTGTACAGTAGTATTGAATGTCACCTACTGCGTAGTAATTCGTCTATGCATGTTTGGCGTGCTTACTGTGCATGGAGATGTTTTAATTGGTAAGTCCCCATGTTTCTCTTGGGTAACTTGTAAAACTGATTCAACTGCCGGTATAGCCACAACACCACGGAGATGCAGCTAGAGAACTTGCATGTGAGCCACGTCATAGAGCAGTATTTCTTTCGCTGGGTAGGTATGGAGAAAAAGTCTATCAGATTGACGATATCGTCTAGACCTGCCAAATCATAGATAGCTCACATCCATCTTCTCGTACTTGACCCCAGTCTCCGATGTCTGAGCACAAATCCTCTAAAATCCAGGGATCACAAACACTAATCATTGACGGACAACTTAGAACCCCCATGCTCAACTCACTCACAAGTACAGATACTTGCCATCGATCTAACCCCAACTTCTAGAAGCCGTCGCACACCCATGATTTCTAGTCCGCATCTAGCCATACACCAGCACTTTGGCGCCACGACTACCCTTCACGCCCCATCATCTCGAGTCTGCACAGCCAGAATATCACTTCGAAAACCCTTGGAAGCCAGGCACGTGCGGGCGAGCCATAACCGTAAACTGCGATCCCTTACCCGGGATATGCGTTAGCTCTCTCAACGGCGTTAAGAAAGTTCGTGCAGATCACTTATTCGCCCCGGCTATTTGGTCTGGTGAACTCCCTGCCCGATGAGTAATACGACGACATCCCACGCTCACAGGGCGTCGGGTTCCCAGATTCAGTAAGAGTATGAGAAAAGGCGCGCTATTCAGAACGAATTACACCACAAAGATACCACGGAGGCCGCCGCCTCATCTTATAGCGCGTGGCAAAGGCACCGCCATGAAACAGCAAAAGAGCCTTTGTTCACGGATATTGAATGGGAATAGACATGTTTCCACACGTGAAAACCTTGATCATAAAAGCCACAAGGTATTGTACTTCTTGTTGTATGTACACCTAGCCGTATGCCCCTATTCGACTTCATCAAAGACCTATCCCAAAAGATGTGTGCAATTCCGCTTCCATTCCGCGCAATGACTCCGTCAACGCCAAATCAATCCTGACCTCCAATGGTTCTGTAGTACTCAAATACATCTATATGCCAAAGACAAGCTTCATGCGCTCATACGTGTAGAATGCGACCGCCGCCATTGGGAATACCTTGACGTATCCAATGGTGAGGCCAACAAAGAAACCAGGAATACCCCTCTCTCGGAAGATCATACCAGCGGTCTCTCCTATCCTCAATCGACGGCCGTCACCAACAGCACCGCCAACTTGCATTCGTCGTCGAATGACTTCAAGAGGATATGACGCCGTTTGAGATATCAAACCGGCGATTCCACCAGCAGTAAGCTCTGCCCATGATCGTAAAGGGGCTGGCTTTCCTTCAGGGTGGTTTGCCTTCTTCGGTAATGTCGTGTGCTTCGCAAAACGAGGCGATCGGAGGATATCACCAACAGTATCGTGAGTTAAGAAAGACATGCCCGCATATGGAAGCATGCCCATAACGGTGGGAGCGAAACCTCGATAAAAGTTGATAAGTCCTGTTTGAGGAGCAATGGCCCCAACTGTCGCTGCTGTCGCTTCCGCTGCAGCATTTACCGTCGCAGGCGCATTATGTAGTCGAGTCGCTGTTGTTTTCTGAACGGGTTGCTCGTTGTAAATCTGACGACATATTGATGACAAAGAAGAGTGGCCGTCACGTTTAGTCTCGAAAGCAAGTCGTACTCTCATAACTTCTAAAGGATATGTGAAAAAGACGGAAGTGACACCAGCCAAACTTCCACTGAGCAATCTTCTCATTGGTGTCTCATGGTGTTTATCGGGGATAATAATGGCTCGAATTTGTTCGTATGCGAGGAATTTGATACCAGCGTAAGGAAAGATTCGTAGTAAAGTCGCTGAGTGTCCACGGTAGAGTCCAGTGATGCCTTCATATCTGTGGATGTCCTTCATGGCGCTTGCGACACCAACCCATGATCCTGTATATTTTGCGAACCGTGGATTGCTGGCCTGGAAGAGGATCTTTACTCGATCCAATGGTGCGACGACAGTTTTGCCCTATTTCAAACAGTCAGAAACTTCTGGAGGCCTCAGTCTTCGACTTTGACAAACTTACAGCGCAGCCAGCTAAACCACCCGCAACTCCAGATTTCCAGACATATTCGAAGCTGTTCATTTGTGCCTTTGGTGCTACGGTCTCCTGGTCCGTAGGACACACAGGAGGCTCTTTTGGCGACTTGCTGAGTGTGTGAGAAGAGACATGGCTCTGTATATTTCTATTGCGCGCAACATCGGCCATTGAGGCATGCTCCATCTGAGCAGCGTCGGCAGAGGACATGGCCCCGAGGCTCGCAGAAGCACGTGCCTGACCTTGTTGAACGGATTCGAGGCCTACGGGCGCGACATGCCGTGGCAGAGTCGAATGGGGATCGATATTAGAAGCCAACGCGACTGAGGTATTTCGGTTTCGGTGGTGATCTTGTCAAAAAGTTGGAGGAGTAGTAGAAACAGGTTTTGCGGGGAGGATGAAGAAGTTCGGATATGGGGAGGATTTTGGAGATGATACCGGCATGCGGCGCGGCAGAATTTCCCCGGTCAGAGGCGGCTTGGACGTCATTAAACCGACGCTCAGTGGGCGAATACAGGTCCCCCACTAGTTTTTTACAAGTGAATGACCTCCACTACCTTAGCAAAGGTGGTCACGCTCGCGGAAATGGAGATCCCCCAGAACCCTAGAAAATAGAGCAATTAGGCCATCAGGGGTTCAAGACTTGTCACTTCAGTGGGTTAATGCGCTGATAATCCACCGAAAACTTGTCGTTTCTCAGCAGATTCACAGCCAGGGCAGGGCTGTCAATGGCATAGCGAGGCTTAACGGTCCCGGTGATCAATAACCGAGCCGAGGTTTGCCGACCATCGCCGCAAATTTATTCCTTCAACCGCGGGTTAAGCAAATGCCAATGCAGGTGGAAGAATAGTCATCCGAGCCAGTTATGGAGGCCAATAGCCACCGAAACTCCTCTGTTCTCTTTGAGAGACCAGATAGGAGCCTCATTGTTCTAGACATCCCCACCTCTCTAGAAGAGAGCCAGGTTCTCCCGTCTCAGATCCCCCGCCGCCGCATCGTCTCCGCAGAGCCCCCCGCAAGTCCGTATCCTACCCCGGAGCCCCGGCATGGAGGAGGCGACCACTCGGCATTTGCGACAGCATCTCCTGGCGCGCAGTTGGCCGAGCTCATGACTGCTGAAACGGTCAGCAGCGCCTTACAGGACCTTGCCAGCACATACTCATATTCTGGACCTTTCCATCGGGACCGGTTTGTTCAGCCACAACAACCACCGTCAGTATCAGCTCTGCCGCCTTTGATACCAGACAAAGCCGGGTTTCTTGATGGCTCTATTGAGGCTATGCGTGATACTTTTCACATGTCAGCTCCCAAGTTTGATCTTGTTGTGTTAGATCCTCCGTGGCCAAACCGGTCTGCCAGGAGAAAGACAGACAAGTATGCTACTGTATCAAATCTCAAGGAGATGCGCGACCTTTTGCTACACATTCCTCTAGCTTCTCATCTTGCACCAGATGGACTAGTTGCCGTCTGGGTCACTAATAAACACAGTATTCACGACTTTTTGACTTCCCCTACAGGGCTATTTGCTGCTTGGGGTCTTGAGTTTGTGGCTGAATGGACGTGGCTCAAGGTTGCTGCGTCAGGTGAACCGCTCTACGACATTGAGTCAACTTGGAGGAAGCCATGGGAAAAGCTCATTATAGCGAAGCGCATCGGAAGCAAGAAGCCAGATGCTCTCGGGTCCAAAGTCATCGTGGCAGTCCCTGACGTCCACTCACGAAAACCCAATTTGCGAGGCCTCTTTCAAGATGTCATCGGCAAAGAATGCCTTGGCCTCGAGATCTTTGCTCGCAACTTGACTGCTGGTTGGTGGGCTTGGGGGAATGAAGTCTTGCGCTTTCAACAGCCCGAACATTGGCAGGACATAGAATAATGAGACAAAAAAATACGAGTTTTCAGCGTCTATATTTGCGCTCATAGTCTTTAACCCGCCTGCATGCATTGCCCATCCAAGACTAGTTACAATAATGTACAGTTGTGATGCCCGCTTATCCTACAGAGGTCCATCATCCGTGGCTCCTCATAGAATTGCCGCCTTTTTCATTAGCAGTTTCCTGCAGTTTCAAGTCGTAATTCGCCTTTCGTAGTCGTTTAAGCTTCGTTTGCGTCCTTCTTAACCTCTACCTCCTCCTTGTTCAGTATCTTCTCCCATTTAGGATCCAAGATAACATCGTTAGTCCACTTCTCCTCTCCCGATAACAGCTTTTGTGCCATATTGGCCAACTCTTGTCTCTCCTTCGACGGGAGCTGCTTGCTCTTGAGAGGAATTTCGAATCGCTGTTGCGCAATATGCTCCTTATTTCGCTTTTCCAGCATATCCTCGCGCATCTGGAACAATTGGTTGCTCCAGGGTGTTTTGTCCTCGGGAAGTTCGGGCCATTGGAAGGGCTTTGCCAATTCGACAGTCATGACCTTGAGGGGTTTGGGGCGGTACCACGAGCGCGAGTGGGAGTTGCGCTGGGTTAGAGGTTGCTGCTTGACGTATGATCGGACCTTTGTGACCTCGACATTGTATAGGTTCCAGAGGTAATCTCGGAGATCGAACTTTGTGAATCGTAGAGGGACCTGGAAAGTGGCCTCGTTTGGTGGGAGGTGATCTTTTCGAAGAAAGGTGATTACATGGTTTGGCCTAGAGATTGTTAGAATTTGTAGGTAGAGATGGATCAAAGACACTTACAGAAAAACCTGCTTCTGTCCCAGCTTGAAGCCGGGCAATTGGCGAGCTACAGTCTTTGCTACCTCTGCCATGGTCGTCGTTTTGCCCTTTCAAAAGTGGTCGGCGACAGTTGAGTTGGGATGTGAAGAAATTCGATGACTGGCTCTGATTGGCTTCAACGGCAAAAGTGAACTTCCGGGAGGGGTGTGGGGATTGGAGATGTTATAGGTGCACACCCCGCATCCAGCAGTGTAAGAAGGTGAATATCATTTCACTTCACGAGGCCATTTTCGTGGCTGGAATAATATATCAAATAATTTAAGAGTAAAAGAGGCTATTCCAGCACTTCTAGTATCTTTCTATCAGTTTGTTATAGCACATTAGGCAAAAATCATTGACCTGGGTTGAAGTGACATCTCCCCAACTCAGTTGTCTCACGGGTACTCGCAGTGCAACAATTACTCCTTCTCGTCAACATAAAACGAAGCCTATTCTTTCTCTCCACAACAAAAACAAAACAACAAGAACACCGATCTCCGAATCCGCCCTCATGCCCCATCAACACCCAAAATGCAAAAACACACCAAATCAAAGCGTTCTTTGAGTCCGACGGCTCGGGTCTCACCTCGTAAGAGACTCAACTATGATGCAGACACTCGCAAGATGTCGAGTCCCACGAGCTATGATGATGAAGATGTTCAACTCAGTTTCCTGACCATAGACGAAGAAGATGAAGAAGAAGTCGCTTGTTCTAACAGCATGGAAGAGTTGATGAAGCTGGAAAAGGAGCGATATCCCGGTGCCAGTACCTGGGCTCCTGCTGAAGAGCGACTTTTTGAGATACTGTATATGCGACAGGATCTGCCCATGCTTCCATCAACGTGGGATGTCGATCTCAGAGGAGTGCCCATCTCAGACATTGTCTTCCAAACTTCGGATGAGTTTCCTCCTATCATCTATGCTCACTCAAATAACTTTCGAGGTATGTTTATCCTCCTATTATGGAGTACATTGCTCACTCTTTTCCAGCAACAACCGCCCTTATCCGTCTCATGGACCTCACAGCAACGACCAGGACAACCATTCAGAGTGGCCATCGGATAAAGGTCCCGCAGCTCATCAAACAACACCTCGACAAGTATCTGAGCTGGGCAGCACAGGACGGCGACTACCTGCATCTACGCATTGTTCCGAACATCCTGACGGAGATTGTAGACACGAAAATGCTGGAGGATGAGATCACCGAGCACATCCAGAAACGTATGAGAGCTCTCGCAAAGCTCCAGCGAGAGTTTCTCCGAGAGGATAGGAACCCTCAGTTCTGGGATGTTATCAAGCCCAGTGTATTCGCATCTCCGAAAATCAAACTTGAGCCGGACGATGGGCCGACATCGTTTGGGGGGTGGCTAACGCCTGCTCAGAGCCGACTAGGCTCACATCTTCAAGGTGGGAACGTAGTTCCAACCACCGAAACCCATGAAGTCGCTGTCAAGATCGAACCTGGATTTAAGAACCCCGGTATCTCGGCAGGAATACTCCCCAAGACAACGATGCTTTCGAGGGAGTCATACCATTCAGAGTCCCCATCGCCCTCTCTACCCGAAGAGCCTCAGACCCCTCCTCGACACACCTACCGTCGCCACCCTCCCGTGGTATACGGTCTCTTTATCATCAACACCTGGGTTCTCGTTCTCACAGTCGATTCCTCCAAGGGATCCGACGCCCATGTCAGTTTTCAGGTCCAAGTCGATTTCAAAGATGAGCACCAGGGAATCTGGAATGCCCTGACCATTGCTATTGCGGTGTGCCTTGCTCGTGATGAGCTACGGACTCGTGCGACCGACTTTGAGGAGCTGCCTTGCGTGGAAGATAGTGATCCGGATGCTTGATTTGCAGGATATTTCAATGATTATACGATTGTTATGAAGGAAGGAATACCGGAGTCCATGTTTCACTACCGTTTGTTGCTAATGCGCTTTGAAGTTGTGTTTTATACCCCTGATTTTATAAACGAGTGTTGACTTGGAGTTTGGTTGTTGTTATCAAGAGGTTTTCATGTACCAATCATCGAGCCTTCAACGCTATTCACCTTATTGGAGAACTCCTCGAGTCGTTGAATCAGTCATTAAGCAATTTGCCCTATTTGAAAAGTCATAATTCTTAAGTCAATAGAGAGCTTCTATGCTTCATGCTCTCATCTCTATTCATGTCCTGATGTGTCTGATCAGTCATTCCCTTCTATTCCCAACGCCCAACAATGGCGGCCGTCCGCAGCCCCAAACGTCTCTTTCTATCTGTACATAAATGTCCATTGCATTTCATCTCATAGAGTCCGCTTCTCTAATGCGTGAGTTATACAGGGTGGGGGGCGAAGCGGGGAGGAAACTTTTTTTGCGACCGCGCGTGAATAAATGTTTTTAAAATCATAGCAAGCAAGGTAGTTAACGACAAGGTGAGAACAAGGTGTATGTGTTTGTGTTTGTGTTTGTGAGGAGATTTTTACATTTCTTCTCGTTCGACGGGCATCAGAACCTCAAGCTGTCGAAGGAGTCGCTGGTACAAGAACAGCATGCAGCCACTCTGGATGAATGTCCATACTCCTCGGGGTCCGACACCACGGAACCATCCTGCTACGCCTTCTGTGCGGTAGATGACCCGTAGGCCGGTGAAGACGGAGGAGGTGTCGAGAGCGATGGCGCCTGGTCGTGGCCGATGTGTGCTGGGAGAAGAGGTGGAAATGTGTCGAACTTGTGAGTTGGCATGATGGTCTTTGGGATGTCGGGACTCTGTTGGTGTGTTGACTTGAGTCTGAAGTCGTGTCTTGACAACGTCGAGGGGACAGGTGATAACACCGGCAAGACCACCAGCTGCAGCACCCGTGAGAAGCTCTAGGGAAACTCCGATATCGCGGCTCTGCTTGTATTTGCGAGCCCAAGTGGTGAATTGTTCCCAGAACATGAACTGCAGAGCTGAGAAGGGCAGATCACGGTAGAGAGTGGCCTTGTAGCCGTAGAATAAGGCCGAGGCGCCTTCTGCGCGCACAATGGTTCGGGCAGCGTCGATAGTACCGCGGTAGTTGTAGCCAGAGGTGAAATGGGGGTTGTTGTAACGGCCTTGAAGCTGGAGGCGTGTCTTGAGAACTTCTGAGGGGACGTAGACAATAGATGCTGCGAGATCTCCAAGGAAACCTATGGTTTGTTAGCATTTGTACTCCTGCTGGATCTCATCGGGGTGCCATACCTGCTGTGAGATATGAAATATGCTGTTGCACGCCGTGATCTATCAAGAATCGCTTGCTCCATTCATATGTGCCGAAGAACATAACAGTTCCTGGAAATGAGCCTCCAAGCGCAGGAATCCATCCACCGTAGAGACCTCGTCTTATACCCTCCTGTCTCCATATCGTGTAGTAGGACTGTCCTAGCGATGTGTATCTTGAAGGAACGTGGGGATCGCCCTGTTGTCTCGTCTTGACAGTGTCGAGTGAGTGCATGAGTAGATCGCCCGTAGATCCTCCAATACCACCTGCGATCATGGCCTGTCGTGGGGACCCATGTTAGCGCACCTGGAAACGAATAGGTCGAAGACGCTTGGCGATGCAATCACAGCACACTTATAGTCTGTAACGTACATGAAGATACGGCGGTCGCCCCTCGGCCTCGACATCTTGTGCGGTCATGTTCTGGTCACTGGTCTTGCTTCTACTACTTTCCGAGCGACGACCCGTCCAAGCAGCATGACGATGCTCGGGGAATGGCGCAAAATCGCTCGCCGCAGTCGTCGATCCGTCGTTCGTCGTCGTCGATTGAGCGAAGACGAGGTCAGAATCTTGTTGTTGAAGACCCAAGGGCATAATCCGGGTTCAGCAAGAAATCGAGCTCGGATCGGAGGAAACAGTTGAACGAGTCGGTGACGGCCCAACGCGGAAGACTTCGGAAGCGAAAAAAAGAAAGACAAGAGGATCCCCAAGAAAGAGAGAAGAGTAACTATTAAGAAGGGATCGCTCTGTCGCGATGTTTGGTCGTGGGCGAGTGGGCGGGCGTCGCAGGGTCGCAGAGAATAGATAAGAGCCGAGAGTCTGGGCGATGTCGATTATGAGAATTTTGATGAAGGAACCTGGTCTTGGCGAATTGCGGCTCTAGCTGGCTCTGCTCAGCGGTTTCTTAGTGGCCGATCAGGGACCGCACCTGAATTTACAGCGCACTTCACTTTACCTACCTTAGGTTCAGAGCACCCGACGCTAACTACGTCAATGGAAGAATGCCCAATGAAAGAATTTCAAGAAATGACCGAACGGGCTTTCGGTCTGTTATCTTATCTTCACCTCATCCATCATACGCTACTTCTGCCCGCGTACCAATTTATAGTGAGGCTTCAGTGAGATCATATGAGTTGATGAATCAATCCTGACGTATGGCTATTGATGAAACGAATAATCAACCGTGAAATTGAGTTGATAATAAGGTCTATACATGTCTTCATGAGTTTTGGTACATATAATACATCTATCCTCATATCCTACTCCATCAATGGCCTCTGGTGATCCCGCCATGGAAGAGCACCAAACTTGCGAAATGGAAACACAATATGCGTAACCCGCCCTGTAATCAACTGCTTAGATACCGGTCCATACGTATTGCTATCCAGACTCGATCCAGGCGGTCCATCGCCCTCAACCCACACGTGCCCCTGCGGGACTCTCACTGTTGGCAGAGGATGAGGCGCTTTTGTCTTGATCACATCGTTCTCTAGCGCCACTACGCGCTTGACTGCGATTGTCTCGGGATGTAGCGGACTCCTTTTATAACTTCCATGTTAATTCTCATCAATTGCTTATTTCCAGGCCTTGAGAAGGATCTGCTCGTACCGTAATGTCACAACCATGCCCCTCTCTAGATTCTCTTGAGGAGACCACTTCCAGTTAAGGATCACATCTCTTCGTAAAGTTGAGTCTTTGTCGTCGTTTATCAACGGATACATGGATGCGCCGTCGACAAAAGTCAGCTCTGCTACGTGCAGGTTAAACATGGCGATGACTGGGATCCATGTTGCGAATCCAAAGAGTCTTAAAGCCGTTGATCTGGCCAGACTGGGTTGGCCATTACCTCTTAGACGTGCCCACACTGAGCCGAGAGCCATTGCGAAGGCTCTAACTATTATTCAAAACGAGCGTTGTTAAAGAGTAACATTCCCGTTGCTGTGAGTTTGAGTTGTAGTGGGACTATCGCTGGTTGTGAGTCCAAGTATAGAAATTCTACACACGAGTCTACCTAAGCTTTTATCGGCTAGTTCCGACAGCCCGCCATGCAAGGCAGCACGAGACAAGCAGTATTGAACATGAAACTTCAGAACCACAACTCTAAAGAAACATCATCTTAAAGTATGTTCCACTGAAACAAGCCAAAAACACACTAATCACAATGCAATGAAAAGATGGTATCTCGAGTAATCAAAGAACTGTTCGTTATCAACGCCGTTTCAGACGCCACTTCCTACCATCGGAAGAACTACATGAAAGTCTGGACTTTTAGTGATGCTCTGCACTCCGGGATACATGCTTCCTTTCAGCCTCCCAGACGCCCTCTATTACATCCTTTTCCGTGTCCAACAACCCGCTCGTGCGCGGGCTACTTTGGCATGGCTCTAACAGTCTTGCCGACTCATCCTGACCTGGAGACTCTTCGTCTGTCCATGACCTAGATGGTCTCAGGGATGTTTTCGTCGCTGTCGCTCATGCTCTCGTCACCGCTGACCTCGGCGTTCTCACGCTCACGCTTCTCCATCAATGCTTGCAGCTCAGCGTCATCGCTCTCGGTAACAGCCTTGGGCTCCATCTTGACTGTCAAGTTACCACCGGCACCCTCGATGCTCTTTCGGACATCGACGATGGCCTCTTCCAAGCAAGTAATACCAACGTTCTTGTCCAAGGTCGAGCATGTAAGGACGTAGAGAGGCGGAGAGACGAGCTTGACCTTGACTTGGGTGTCATCGGTGCTGTGGGCCTCGGCTGTGCGGAGAGCAGTCTTGACGGCGTCGATTCCCTCGTATCCGAAGCAAGTGACCTCAATATCGGCTCGGATCTTGGTGGGCTGAGGAGTAAGACGCTTTCCGATGTATGACTTGAGCTCCTCCTTGGCCACCTCGTTGGGGAAGGTAATATCGTTCCAGACCTCGGGGTTCCTTCTCAAGGTTAGTACAGGTGGTCCGACTTTAGTGAAGAGCAACTGACGTGATGGAAAGCTTGAAAGCGTCGATAGCATGTCCGTATCGCTTGTTTAGGGGCCAAGCAATGGCCTCGTAGAGGCTCTCGATATCGAGCTTGGTCTTCTCGGCGAGATGCACCATGATAGAGTGGACCATCTTGCTCTTGTTGTATCGCTCTTCGCACTTGACAATATCCTCGGGGGAGACTCGTCGCTTCGAAAGATCGATGTAACCTGCCCAAAAAATCAATATCCATGCCCAAAGTTCAGCCCGACGTAAATTTGATGCTAACCCTTCTCCTTGTCGACACGGAGCACCACGACGACTTCGTTGCGACCGACTCGGATGAGCTTCTGGATACTTCGAATACGTCTTCGCGAAAGCTCGGAAAGCAGGATCATGCCGTCAATGTTGTCGTACTCTAGAAGCTTAACATAGGCACCCATTTCGGCGATCTGAAATTGGTCAGAGGCAGTTCTTTCGGACAGATCAGGTTGCTACTGACCTGCTTGACATTGACCATGACGAAGCTATCGATCTCCGGGTACTTCTCCTCATAAAAACGGCAATGTTGGTTTTGAGCCATCTTGACGGTGTTTTTGAGGTTTCAGAGGGTTCGGTCGGGTTTCTGTAGAATAAGGTGGGGGGTTTATCGATGTCGAGTGCCGTCGCACGAACGATCGCAAGTCGGGCTTTCAAAAAAGAGCCTAAAGTCTAATTTTTGATAAGTTATTCCTGCGATAGTATCGGTAGTGATTCTCGCGCGATCAAGTCGTAAATCGTCACGTCAACAGTGGATGTAGAGGGGAAGAGTCATAATTTTGACATTTTGCAAGTGCACTCGATTGATGATGGTGGGGTTGTGGCGGGGTGTGGCTCGTTCCCATGCTCATTCATTTTCGTTCCATTGGTAGTGGCAGTGGCAGTGGAGGCAGTACCTGAAAATTCGGGCATAATGCCGCCAGCTGCGCCTGAGGTGGCCCGCCCATGACTTTCGTTGCCATGATGGGAGCTTTCCACGTGACTGAACCAAAGGTAAACAACTTCATCAACACCAAGCCTGTCGACAAGAGCATACACAGCCATGGCTCCTGGTAAGTTCCAAGCTGCTGTACCTGCGATCAGGTTGCGAATGTTTGCTAATTGATTTTCAGCGACTCAGTACGAACTTTCACCGCCCCCAACCGACGCGGTCTCGGCGATCGCGTTTGCGCCGTCCTCCGGAACCAAGCTCCTTGTCTCATCATGGGATAAGAAGGTGTATTGCTACGACATCGCAGGTGGAGCTGGTGAGGCGACTCTCGTCAACACATACGAGCACCGGGCGCCAGTCTTGGATGTCTGCTTCGGCGCCAATGATAATGAAGCTTTTACTGCTGGCGTGGATTGGTGTGTTAACAGGTCAGTGGATGCGAATGGCTACGCTTTGAAACGTTAAGCTGACAACAATGAACAGGATTGACTTGGAGACTGGCGAGAAGACCCTGCTGAGCAAGCATGCTGCGCCGGTGCGATCTATAGCCTACAGCCCAAAGTTTTGTGAGTCATTGCACCCCTGTGATTGACTCATACTAACAGAAACCAGCGATCTTGGTCTCCGCGTCTTGGGATTGCAGCTTGAACCTCCATAACCTCAGCGATCCTTCAAGCACCCCCATAAGGGTCTCTCTCCCTGGCAAGCCTCATGCGCTGGCTGCTAGTCCCACGAAGATCGTGGTTGCCATGGCCGGCCGTGTTATCAACATCTACGACCTGAAGACCATTGTCGACCTATTCGCAACTGGCTCATCTGACTTGCAGCCATGGCAACAACGTGAATCATCTCTGCGATATTTGACCCGCGCAGTGTCCTGCATGCCCAATGATGCCGGCTACGCCACAAGCAGCATCGAAGGCCGTGTTGCAGTTGAGTGGTTTGAGGACACGGCCGAGTCCCAGGCTCGAAAGTACGCCTTCAAGTGCCATCGACAGGCAGCACCAGATGGTGACGGTGATATTGTTTATCCGGTAAATGCTCTCGCCTTCCACCCTGTTCATGGGACATTTGCTTCAGGGGGTGGCGATGGCACTGCTGCTTTGTGGGATGCTGAAGCAAAGCGACGACTTAAACAGTACCAGAAATTCCCCAACAGCGTTGCTGCGCTTGCTTTCTCAAGCGACGGGAGATATCTTGCTGTGGGTGTTTGCCCTGGGTTTGAGACTGGCCAAGAGGACTACAGCGGTGCCGGACAGACATCGGTATTGATCCGTGAGCTTGGTGAGAACGAAGCCAAGGGCAAGGGAGCCAAATAGGCGGTACGTGTTGGACAGTCGTTATCCCAAAAGGCGTTCTGGTGGTTGCGGGGCTTGATTTATTATTTCTGTACTATTCTCGATCTAAAGGAAGTGGCATCAAGATACCCGTCATGGAGCAGCCTCAAAATAACGTCGTGAATGGTTGCACTATTTGTTCTTGGTTCTTTTGCTACTGACCAGCCACGTATAGGTATCTCTAGGTGGTTTCAGTTGTCCCAAGCGATGGGCTTCTTGGCTTTGGACCTTTGTGGTTCCCCGTGTTTGGTTCGTGTACATTCTTCCGGAGCCGAATGACCATTGGTTGAGGATATCCAAGCGATACTTCCTTCACATCGAATCCATCTCGGCATTGATATTCCAGGCTATTGGATGGTGAAGCACATGGCCACGGAGAAGGCCCCGGAAGTTTATAATCTCGAATTCGAACTCCCTTTCTGATTGTGTATTGCCCCTTCTTCTCAATCAAACGAGGGGCTCCTTGAGGAACAGGCCTCAATTTTGTCACTACTGGCGACTCAGACGTATGTGTTCTAGTTGGTGATGGAGTTTCGTCTCGCTGCTGGTTGTTTCGTCTCGCTTGGATCTCTTTGATAGTCAGTTTTCTGTTGAGGCGCAAGGGTGTCATGACTGTATTTACGTGACGACCGTCGGTCAGGGGTATACTCTGCATCTCCAATAGAACGAATGGACTCGATCCGCCTTCGTTTCGTTGGTCGACATGCTCGAATTGGTAGTAGCTGCAGTTGACTGGCTCGGTGTTCAACATCGCCTGCTGGGCTATAAAATAGGGGCTGGCTTGTCTGTCGCTGACGGATAGGTGTTTCTGGGATACTCTTAAGCGTTAATACACCGTTGAAGAAGATAAGAGTGATATGAAGGCACACAATTCAACATTCGTGAACTCATCCGTGGCAGATTCGGGGCTGACGGCATCATGTTCTTCCAAACTTGGGGAGGATGCAGAGCTTTGACTTCGACTTCTCTTTCGACTACTGCCAATGGCTTGGTTGAATTCTGTATTATCATCGTCCATGAAGAGTATTTGGTGCATTGTCACTAACTCGACTTGACGACCGGCAACATGGCTGTCGTCCACCTCTATAGAGGGTAAAATTGTTTGAAAAGACATATTTGAATGATTTGGTGAATCTTCAAGGGGGCCTACGGTTCGTAGTGAGGTGCGTCCCGACTGGAGATGGGAAAGAAGGAAGGAGCCACTACGGCCTGCCCTCTATAGTTCTTTCCTGACACTCTCCGTTTGTTCAACGCAGGCTTCACCGAGCAGCCCCTACCTTTAAGCAATAGAGATTGTCTTCGAAGATGAAGAAATATCAAGTGTTCATCCCCTGTTCACTCATTCGATTCAAAGTTGTTTTTCCACCACTGAGCATCTGCTGGTTATCAAGCAACATAACGATATATTCTAAGAGAAAAGTCTTGAATTTGCAAAGCAAGGTTGGTCTTTGGTTTTCTGTGCTGGTGATCTCCCCAATAACCTCTTATTCTGAACCTGTGTGCTCGCTCTTGTCCCAGTCTAACAAACAAGCAATCCCGTCTGGTTCACCATCGAATAGAAGGCATCACCACAGCACCAATTCTCTCCTTCCAATCCAATTCCGTCCAGTCCGATCGAGACCGAGCTGGTAACCATCGCCAAAAGTTCGCTTTGAGACGGATGCCCTATTCCCCTCGCGCAGCCGGTGAGATGGGCTATAATAAATCAGCACATGTATTCGTATGTTGTTATGAGGAGCGTACCTTTGGTAGTTGGATGTGGTCAAACGTGCCGCCCATCTGGAGCAGCCAAACGTCTGGACCTCCAAAGGAGTTACCCCCACGATACAGGAAGTCGTTGGGAAAGCCCACATCGAATTCAGTAGCCCCATCGATCTCTTGGATATCCTCAGGGGAGAGATTCAGGGTGAGAGCCTGAATGTTGGCTTTGAGATGATCCACCTTTCGACCACCGATGATGGGAAACACATAACTTGTCTTATGCATGACATACGCCAGTGCGATGCTGGTGATGAGTGTGTTCTTACGGTTAGCGATCGACTCCAGCACTTTACTGGTTCTGATCTCTTTCTCGCTGGCCTCCACTCTTCGTCCTTCCCGCGCATTGCGTTGTTCTTCGGTCTTGAACTTTCCGCCTCCAAGGGAGCCCCACGGCGCAATTCCCATGCCTTCAGCTTGACACATGGGAATAATATCCCGCTCAAAATCGCGGGACGCCGCGGACCAGCGACCCTGATACACAGAGAACTGGCGAAGGCCATTGCAGCGGGCATATTCGTTGGCCTTGCTACGGAGTTTTTAGCAAGTTATTCGCTCGTAGAAAGGCACATTGCATCTTACCTCACGATCCAAGCAGGAGTGTCGCTGACGCCCAAGTGGAGGACCTTTCCGGACAGGACGAGTTGGTTGAGAGATTGCATCATCTCTGGGATAGAGGTGTTGCCATCATACCAGTGAACATAGAGCTGTGGCACTGTTAGCTTATCATTCTGAGCTTCGCTCAGAAGAAAGTACCTACAAGGTCAATGTAATCGGTCTGCAGGTTCTTAAGGCTGGCCTCAACTGAAGCCCTCAGACTCTTCGATCCGTTGCCAGTGAAGTTCACCATGATATTAGGAGCACCAGGTCCAGCTCGAAAGTTGGTAGTGTATTTGGTGGCAAGAACTGGGCGCAGGCGTCAGTACAGGACTGGGTGTTGAGCGAGAAGGGGTTACAAACCGATTTCATCCCGGTTACCGCGCTTCCGCATCCATTCTCCCACCCATTTCTCGGTTTCCTGGAATTGGTAGTTGTTTGCAGAGTCAATAAAGTTTCCGCCCTGTTCTTTCATTAGCACTCTGTCGACATCTTACATTCGACATATGGTGTTTATACCTGTTCATAGAAGAAATCCAAGATTGACTCCGATGTGGACTGGTCGCATTCTCCCATCCACTCTTTCCTACGATACCGTTAGTAGATAGAAGCCATCACTGAAGGTGTGCCTCACCAAGCATTTCCAAAGTTCATTGTGCCAAGACAAATAGGGGACACCCAAACCGATGCAGTTGGCGACAACAGTCGGTAGCGCCCAAGAGGGCTTTTGGGAGGTGGTGCGAAAGGGAGAGCCATTGTTTGTTGCGATAGGTTGCTAGTGAGGGTGATGAAGAGGTGAGAAGTTGAGGTGAAACGATGCAGTGGTGGTAGATTTGTAGGGAATGAGGATGGAGTGACAGTGAATGGAGGTGGTGATGATGGTGGTGGCAGCGGCAGTGGCAGTGGTAGTAGCAGTGGCGTCACTGCATAAGAACGATCGATGGTGGCTGGGTTTATGTTATCAAATACAAGAGTTGCGAGTTGTTTCTCTGTTGTAAGTGAAGGGTTCTCATCCGACTTTATATATTCATTCTATCATACGAAACTGGCAACTCGTACCAATCCCATCAACATCATTTTGGGACGGACCTTCTGGACTTAAACGGATATTTCGGTCCCGTACTTGCTGAAAGAATAGTTACATCTTACGTGATGCTTCCTAGACGATATTGAAGTTGACTCACATTCCACGGCACTAACGAAGCGCATACGGGCGTATGCCACCAGAGTTGATGTCCAACGTATGTAACAAGACCTCAAACTGACCCGAGGAACTCACGTAAATATTTCCATTGGCTTCTCAATATACGCTAAAACGGGGAACTACCTTGATAAGTCTAGATCAAGATCAATTCATATAATTATTCAGCAAAAGCAGTTGTCAAGATCATCGAAACAAACAGCGGAGAGATGGAGATAACGGACTTAGAACATGGGGAAGTGTCCAACTTGCATTAGACACATCTTTAGCATCCACTAGATATGTGGCTCGAGTCTCGAGATCGACATTAAACACCTTGATGTGTGAGGTTGTCTAGGTTTGTGCAACATCCTAAGCACCTTATATCAACGCATCATAATGTTTTGTCTGTATATCACTTGCGGGGAATTGGTCTCCATATGGAAAATGGCAACTTGAAGATCTAATAGCCGAATGACCTGCCACCCGAAACGTATTGGCCTTTTGGAGTAATCATAGATACATCTAATATTATTAAGAATTAACTGAAGTAATAAGATGCACTGAACTTCTAGATAATGACAATTCTAACAATAAGACATCAAAATGAAGATGATGATACGAAAATGGCTTACCCTGGAGCTGGACACTGACAAAGATGCTGAAGGTAAAATGGGCTGATGTTGCTGGCCATCGTAGCTCTCTCATTGGCTCAAAGTCCCAATTCCTCGGCCGGGCGGGTACGTACCTAGCCTCCAATTCGATTGGATCTCACTCGGCCTAGAATCTGTGCATCACACCACGACAATTACTGCGAGCGACATACCGAGACGACGAATTGAACATCAATCTACGAACCCACGACCTCACAAAGCCGATCTGGGGCAGCATTGGTCCGGATCAAGATGACGACCGCCTAGAATGGCCACTCCAAGCCCCGCCCCTTCAAGGGTCGCCGTCAACGCCCTCCGTGGTGTTCTCCTAACAACGTCCTGTTCAGTCATTATTCTTGCTGAGGAACGACGTCGACGACTCAACATCGCTCGGGCTGCTCTCGACAATGCCAAGAAACTTCACACTGCGCGGGTGAACCGCAACTCCGCTGCGCTGGCTGAGAGCTACAGCAGTAGACGAGAAACCTTTCCAATCGAAATAGCCCACGATTTCCCGCATGCACCCACCAACAATGCTGTACGCCGTCAACGAACAAGAATTGACTCGCTGGAGCATGAATTGTCGCGCCTGAAGGAGATTGAGCATATAGAGTCTTTTGAGACAACATTGCCTGAGGATGGGGACTCAACAAGCACGCCTCAGAACCGCCAGAGGAGATGGGACGAGTGGGACGCAGCACGAAAGGAATTATCACGAATATCAGAAAACAGCACATTCTCTCATAACGCCCTATCCATTAGGTTATCTCCAGAGATGAGGCTCCCAACTACATCATCACCAAGGACACGATCAGCCAATTCCAGGATAATCAAGGCCAGAAAGGACGCTAGCACAGGCTCAACAAAAATATACACAACGGACAACACCTCAACGGCAAGAGATGGACAAGTTGGCGCAATAAAATCAGAACCAGTCAATGAAGCCTCGATAGGACAACAAGAATCGTGGTCACGGCTGGATAATCTCCTTGCGGAAATGGAGGCCCAAGATCTGCCACGCGATGAGCGTGTCCAGAATGAAACGAGAGCTATCAAAATGCTCAAAAGGCTGGCCTCAGCACAGAGTGAAGATGCACAAGAGGTTTTATCAAGGGGCATCCGGATACTTCAGTCCACAGCATTGTCTCGGGAATACGGAACCATCCCTCTCATACTCGAAGCTGTCCGTCCCGTTTGCAAGGATATTTGCCTTTTGGCCGTGCCCTTCCTCGACAGTCTTTCCCGGAGCCGCGACGTCGATGGCGTGAGGCACTTATTGCGAAGTTTATCTCGCTTTGAGCCTCAGTCGAAGGAGGCAGTGAATACCAATCGCAATGAATGGGTCACTCGGCTACTTATGCATTACTGGAGGAAGACGAAGGACTTCCTGGAGGTCAAAACGATTTACACATTACTCCAAAAAGGCGGTCTTTTTGACAACAGTGTATTTTCTTCGGCTACTCAGTATGCTGTCAGACGCAGAATTACCCTTATTGCTCTTGATGCTGGCGATGACGCGACTGCAAGTGCAGAAATGTCGCAGCTCCGCGAGATGAAACCGAAGACCTCGGGTGTCGATGTCAAGCTTCGTGGCAGATTTATTGTACGCGAAGCTGAATTGGGACAATGGGACAAGGTCTCAGCTGGACTCGAGGCTTTCGGACCCAAAGCAAAGCAATCCGACCAGTTTCAGAATATTTTATCCTGGCTGACAAAGATATATTGCAAGGATCACACAACCGCGGAGATGGACATTTTTGTGAGAGATCTTGTCAGCAACCACCACATGAGTTTGAACAAGCCCCTAGCTTTCTTTGTTATGGATAGGCACGGCCGAACTCGCAATCTTCAAGCCCTCGTTGCGTGGGTGCAGTTCTGCCAAGATGGTGGATTGGCGATGGACCAGATCTTCTTCAACGAGATTGCCGACAAGTGCTGCAGATACTGGAACCTATCGAGAGCTGATGTGATCCGTATGCTGAAGGATGCACGAGCTTCTGCGCCATGGCTGAAGGACCCTCTGTTGACCAGCTACGCCAGTGAAGGCGGCCTGCATGATCTTCACAAGCCTTTGCCGGGAGAGAAGACAGACAGCTATGGAATTGCCCCAACTCTGCCAGAACGCCGAGGTGACTCAATATCTATCTATGAGCGAGCAGCTTTCAAACATATGAATACTCTGGCGCTTGAGAACGACTGGACCGGTGTTTACAGCGCCTACAAGGAGGCAACCAAGAAGGGCCTTGGTGATTCATCACGATGCCTTCGACTTGCTGTTGTTGCCAACATTCACTTGGAAGGACCCCATTCAGGAACAGTGACGTGTCTCATCAATGAGGCATACATAAGGAATCACGACATCAGCGGTGCTTTGGTTCCTATGCTGGTCGCTCGACTTGAGGCTGGCGACAATGTAAATGATTTACTCCGCGAGAATCTCGCCAAGGGTCAACACATCCATGACAGTGTATACAACAAAGCGGCTCGTGTTCTCACTCAAAAGGGTAACCCTGAAGCAGCGATCAAGGTCTGCGAAATGGCAGCGCAACAGAATGGTATGGGTGAGCTGGCGTACAACAAGTTTAACTTTGCCAGTCTCATCCACTCATATACTGGACAAGGGCGTTACAGAGACCTGATGTCACTTATTGCAAGCTTCATATCCAAGTCAGAATGGTGGCAGGGTAGTAAAGAGTGCAAGGAATCCGTCAAGTTAGCTATGAAGCATGTGGCATCAAGAGCAGCCACGGACCACAGGCGAGAGAACACGCACAAGCAAGTACTATTGCGTCTTGACGATGCTCTTGAACATATCAAGTCTCTGAGGGCGACGAACAAACAAGAGCGGGAGGCCGTTACGAAGGAGGTTGTTGGAGCTTTCAAGACGGTGGAAGAGCCAGTGGCATTTGAAGGAGGCTTCTTCCCAGACACACAATCTGGGCGCCAGACGCCAAAGGATAAGCGGAATACAGAGTGGGAGCTGTCTTCAAGACGAGATTCAATACCCCAAGCATTGAGCGAGACGAGGCACGGGATCGTTGAGGGTGAAGTGCCTGCTCGACAGCACAAGATAGATAAGATGCGAACAGCACGACACGAGCGGACGAAACGAGAGAGGACGCCCTCGCCTGAGCTTACTGAGGATGACATATATTTAGAGAAGGAAATAGCCAGAGCAATGGCGGCTTGAGATTAGAGATTGTAGGCTTAGAAGACATGGAAATGCATTGGCATGGCGTAGACAATATGGTTACAGAAGAGGCATTTGGGTATATGGGCTTCTTGGTCACGGTAACTTTTCTTTGTGACCTGAGAATATGAGAGCATATGATGGTATCTGATGGTATTATCTGTAAAAGAAACAATACAAAACATTATTTAAAAAATTTATTTATTTTATGAATACTGTATGAGTTTCATCAATGTGCCCCTCTTAGCACATGTCAATTGATATGGGCGATTCCTTATTTTCGCATGTGATTCTGTTTCTCAGTTGTAAGATGAATTGATTACAGGTGGGGCTTGGGTTGATAGTGTCACATGCAGCAGCGTATTCGTGTAGACTTGACCCCGTCATCATGAGATTTGGTTAATGGAGGTCATCAACCAGAAACTGATTGGCCACTAGCCGCTAAACAGACGCAGGAACATCAAATAAGCATCGACCCCAACCAGAGAAACCCTTGAGAGTCGCATTCCGAATACGTATTTTCTCTTACTCTTGACGAAGTAATACCGGACTCGGCAGAGGAGAAATTGGTTCGAACCACGTACGATCTGAATCTCTCTCTCTATGAGACGACGTCCTCTCACATGCGAAAAGTCCCGGAACCTGGCGGTGTCCTTTTCGCACATCGAACCATGCCCGCAAGATCTCGTCTTCGGTGGTTGGCTGCTCTTTTAGCGGTCAGGGCGTCTACGGGTCTTGGTGGCGCGATTGCTGCGACCAAGGGGACGACAGCGTTGCGGGGTGAAGTGTTCCAGGGGACCTTACAGTGGGTTATTCCCCTGGAGCTACGATAATGACAGCCCTAGAGAGAATGCCAGGATCGCCCCATGCCAGTCCTAGGGTCCATTTCTCTCGTTGGTTTTTTCTTCTTCGTTTCTTTGAATTTGGGCCCCTGACATGACATTCAGTGACGGTTTATAGGCTGATTTGTTGATATCCTGGAGGATCAATCCCACGAGAATGAGAGGAAAAGGGAGACTATAAACGGCGCATATCCGGTCAATTGTGATCAGACGAGAGGAATTGTCGTCTTTGAAAGTGTCTGTGGTGTTTAAGTCGGTCCAATTGCCCGGAATTCCACTCAATTGATCGATCTCTCTCCTAACCTTTTTTATACTTGCCCCCAAAAAGTCGAGAGCGTCATTGTCACAGGCTCTGTGGCCCCCGAAAACCGATTGACGTTTAAGAGATAAGACTTTACATTATTTGTTTGGCTTTACAACTGAGAATCTGTATAAAAGCATTGATCTCATTCTCTTTACAAAAGCATTGCCTTTTGTTGCTGCTCTTGTTACTCTTTGACCACTTCCACTTCCACCCCCTAATTCCCAGGGCCAATCCATCCAATTTCTCGCCGCCCCCCGATCCGCGATTAATAGACCCCCCACTCCCCATCGAAAGTCTTGTTAGACAATTCCTCAACTACCGCGACTCAACTTCCTCTCACTTCCACAGCAGCCAATTATTTCAACCATGGCTTCAGTACTCACATCAACCGAGTCGCAGACTCGCCGTCGCGAACAATACCACGAGGCCGATGTCGTCGTTGTAGGAGCTGGTGTATTCGGCTGCACTATCGCCTACGCTGTCGCAAACCAGGGCCGATCCGTTCTCCTTCTCGAGCGATGGCTATCGGAGCCCGATCGCATCGTTGGCGAACTTCTCCAGCCTGGAGGTGTCGCCTCACTACAGAAAATCGGCCTCGGTCACTGTCTCGAGGGCATCGATGCCATGCCCTGCTACGGATACACTGTCTTCTACCACGGCGAGAAGGTCCTTGTTCCTTACCCTGGTCTCGACGATAGCGGCAATGTCACACATGCTTGGGGAGGTCACAGCACAGCGGATAAGAGACCGTCTGGATGCAGTTTCCACCACGGCCGCTTTATCACCAAGCTACGAGAGTCGTGCATAAACCACAAGAACATCACTGTTGTTGAGACAGAGGTTGTCAAGACGCTGCGCGGAGAGGTGTCGGATCAGATTCTCGGTGTTGAGAGTCGCACAAAGAACAAGGAGACTGGTGTTAAGGAGAAGGATTACTACTTTGGACAGTTGACCATTATCGCTGATGGTTACGATTCCAAGTGGCGCCAGGAGGTTCTCAGGACCAAACCCAAGGTCTGCTCAAAGTTTTACGCTCTTGAGCTCATCGACTGCGATCTTCCTGAACCTGGCCACGGCCATGTCATCATTGGCAATGCTTTCCCTATCCTTCTCTACCAGATTGGCACTCACGAGACTCGCGCTCTTATCGACGTGCCTCAAGGTATCCCCGAAGCCTCGCCTGAGAATGGCGGTGTCCGTGGATACATCCGCAACTATGTCCTTCCTGCGCTCCCTACTAGCATCCGACCCTCGGCTGAGAAGGCTCTTGAGGATGGCAAGATTCCCCGAAGCATGCCTAACAGCTGGCTTCCTCCTACGAAGCAGCGCGCTAACGGAGCCATTCTCCTCGGTGACGCTATGAACATGCGACATCCTCTCACTGGTGGTGGTATGACTGTCGCATTCAACGATGTTGTCATCCTCGCCGAGGAGTTGCATCCCAGCAAGGTGTCTGACCTCGCTGACAACAAGGCCATCAACAATGCGCTTGACCAGCTTTACTGGAAGCGCAAGCCTTTGACCGGTATCATCAACGTTCTCGCTCAGGCTCTGTACTCCCTGTTCGCAGCCAACGACCGTCAGCTCCGCGCTCTTCAGTACGGATGCTTCAACTACTTCAAGCGTGGCTCAACTGACGGCCCCGTCGCTCTCTTGGCTGGTATGCTCCAGCGCCCCTTCATCCTCGCCTACCACTTCTTCTCCGTTGCATTCCTCGCCATCTGGCTCAACGCCTGCACCGTCATTGGCTGTGGTATCTTGGGCATCTTCAAGGCTCCTCTCGCCATCATCGATGCCGTCCTCATCCTCTGGAAGGCATGCATTGTCTTCCTTCCCATCATGTACCAGGAGACATTCCAGTAAATCTGGAGTTTGAAAAAAAAAAAAAAGAAGAGAAAAAGAGCATGACGTGTTTAAGTAGCGAGACCTGCGGCGTTTATGGAGCTTTGGCTTGGGACTTTTATGTCGAATTTTAAAAAAGAATCTAAGTTTCTTTCAGCAATGGGAGATATTAGATTAGAGCAGAGGGACGACTGTACATATGCCCTTCTTTTCATGGGTGGTTATGAGACATTTGAGCATTTCGGAGTGTTGAGCGGGAGTGGGTTTTGTTAGATATACACACATATGCATGCTTGATCCCCATACTACCTGTGGTTAGAAATTGGGAGATACAAGTAGATTATCATTTCAAGATTAATATTAATTGCAATTGAGCTTCAGTTTACTGTTACTTGTTAGCATGACCGTCTGTGGGACGAATCTCTCATATTCATTAGTTCGAAAGATTTGTTGACTGTGTTTATTCAACTAACGTAGACATGATCATTATGATTACTGAACGTTTGCGCTCATATCCTGTCTGATCCCTTGACCTCCGTCCTATGTCAATCGTCTTCGATAGACACCAAACATCCAACTGGCTCTCAGCACCGCAAGGCCAATAGCCATCTTGATACTGTCCTGGATGACGTTGAGCTTGCTGCCACCAACCTCGTGCCACTCAATGGGCACCTCAGCAACCTTGATGCCGGGACTGGTGCCAATAACACTGCCATCGTGGCCAAGAACTGGTGTCGCTGGTGCTGACTCTGCGAGCATGAGCATCTCGATGTCGAAGATCCACCCCTCAGTGTGCATGTAGGGAATGATGTGTGGGAGGGATGCTCGCGAGAAGAGCTTGAAGCCGCATTGGGTGTCGCGGATTCGCGATGTTGCCGGGGGTGTGAGGATCATGAGCACGAGATGGAACGATCGCATGAGGAAGTTTCGTAGAGCCGAGCGCTAGTTGTGTTAGTTAATGCAATCGATATAGACGAGAGAGTTGAGTTTACCTTAACAACGGCTTCACTGCCCACAAGATGGGCTCGGCTTCCAATAGCAACGCCGCGGTGTGATCCATCGACAACCTCCTCGCATCCTTCAATGAGCTTACCAGCATCACAGAAACGGGATGCGCCATCAGCATCAGCGAACAGGACGTATTCACCCCTCACATGTCGGAAACCATGAGTAGTGGCTCCACCCTTGCCTCTGTTGCGAGCAAGTGAGACAACTCTAAGAATGTCATGGAGGCCGTGTTCTTGGGCAAACTTGAGGACAACATCCACTGTCTTATCCTTGCTTCCATCATCGACAACTAAGATCTCATATCCGCCGAGATCCTCCTTAGGAGCGTTCCGAACATGTCTCTTAGTCGTAGGACTCGCTCCACTAGGTCCAGCTTGTTTGGTTCGGCCAAAGTGTTCGTCGAGATAAGTGACAGCCTCCTCGAGGGTGGGGATAACGCGAGCTTCTTCATTGTAGGCTGGGAAGACGACGCTCAGACGCACTTCAGCGGGTTCGATGTTTCCAGCATCGGGGGTAGGGAATGCTTCATCAGGGCGGACGTGCTGCTCGCTAGCCTGTCGCTCAGCGAGCCAGCGATCGTACCAGCAGGGGAGAGGTTGAGGCTGTGTGCGTCCTTGAGTGGGATGGCTGGTAAGGTAGGTCTTTTCGGAGGCGTAGACGGGTCGAGGCTTTGGCGCGACGAGATGGAGGATGACATAGAGCTAGGAATGAATGGTGAGCTTGCGATTGCGCGCGGGGCCCTAGAGGGGTTCAGTGCATACATACCCCAAGAAGTGCCAGCGCAATAAATGCGAGAAATAATGTCAGAAGAATGTAGACGGGCGTAGCTTCAGCCCAAGCCCATAAAGGCCTGAGAAACTCCGCGGGCGGATCGATCGCCATTTTGGCGGAGGAGAGAGAGAGGGAGGTTGTTTGATACGGCTCGCGACTGCGGAGATGCAGCGATGAAAAGGCGAGTGTAGGTAGGCATTCAAAGCGCGCTCATTTGAGATGTCAATTAGTTTGGTGCAACGTACACAAGGAAAGGAAAGAGAAAGAAAAAAAGGCGAACGCGCCCGTGGGCGACGAAAGGTTTAGAGTAATGAATGCGGTGAGTTAGGTTGCTCGTGATTGTGGTTGTACAGCATTAGAAGGCCACGAAGCATGAATGAGGTGTTGCGTTGCATTGAATCTAATCTATGATTACGTAGCTACAGACAGGCCAAAGGGTGCTATAGTGAAGATGGTAGGGATCGGCAGGGACCAAATGGTGAAATGACCAGTAGGAAACTGCCGGGGCTAATATTTTTAGAACAATTGAAGACATTCACAATGAGAACCACGGTTGATCATTTACTCAAATAAATGAATGAATCTCAAGAAATACATGAATTGTAAATGATAATTTTCAACATCAGGCCATAAATGACTTGAAGAAACTAACATGAGATACGAATGCCTCTACTTAGCGAGTCTAAGCTCTGCGACTTGCAAGATCAATTAGACTGAGTCAACTGCAATACGGATAACCGCATTTGATTATTTAGTAGGTAACAAACTCAATTACTACCCCTGCAGCAGTAGGTGGTCTTCATGACATTCACAAGGATCGCGATCGGTGGAAAACAGAATGTGAGCGTGAATCGTTGTCTTAGTTTCATTTCAGTAACAGTTGGTCCCAGCCAATGGAGAATGAATGACCTGGTGCCATGCCATGCCATCCTAAAGCTAAAAAAGTATGTAACAGTAATAAAAGGAAGAACCCGAAGGGTTCTAGAAGAAAAGTCTAAACGCTATTGTACATGAAGTAAAAGGGCTTAGCTCGGTTCCGATTCCTGCTCTGAACCAAGTCTAAGTCCAAGTAGAGTGTGGCGTACTTTTTTTCACTTTAGTATAAAGATTTCTGCCAAGATGTGTCAAACTCGACATCGGAATGCCCGAGACTGAGAGGGGCCCCATATCCAATGCTTGCTCTCTCCCCCACAAGACGACCCCTGTCTTGTCTTGTCTTGCTTGTTGGGTTGGTCGCTTTCGCATTCTTTCAAAACTCAGAGTACCGTGTCCTGCTCGATCTCAAATGGAGAGCTTGGTGGACGGATCGGTGTAAGTTGATGGACCTTGCTGGGCCGAAGCGTGGTTGGTAGCAGGGAGTCAGTCCCTTGCTGATTTTTTTGGGCTGTAGCTTTTGATCATGTCTGAGAAATCACCCTCCAGGGGCAGAAATCTCATCAAGTACAAGCTTAGATCATGACACCAGTCTGGAATCGCTCGGCGAGCCGATCCCGAGGGTCAGGAGATACAGTGTAAGCCAAGCCATACTGAGGACCTCGGACAACTTCCTTGCCCTTGAGAGAAATGGGATGATGGAAAGTTGGCGCAGGAGAGTACTCATAGATGTGAGCAGGCTCAAAGTGATGCACAGGAGAGTGACTTCTAGGGCTGATGTCTCCATCGTAGTCAGTCTCGCTGGCTTGATAGGTAGTGCTGCAGCTGCCACTGGTGAAGGGAGAGGCCGTTGATGATCCGGGGAAGTTCATCTGGATGTGGTGATTATCGTGCATGGCATCAGCAACGGCCTTTGCCGTTCGCTTGCGGTTCTCAGCGCGAACCTTGGAGCGGTCGTGATGACGGGCACCAGCTGGACCGACGTTGACTGAATCGCATGCTGCGTGTGTGGGAACATGGCGATATCTTTGTGTGGGTTTTGTTGCCTTGGGCTGCTCTACTTCTTTGGCCTTGGCTGTCTCCTTGTGATCTCGAGCACGCTTGATGGAACTGAGGATAGACATGGTTGTTGATGGATATGTAAGTTGAAGAGATGCTGATGTGATATGATGTGAAGTATATATAAGTGGATATGTTAGTGTTGATTGTATTGTATTGTATTGTTGGAATGGTATGAAGGGAAAAAAGAGTCGTTTTTTCAACGGGCGAAGCGGTCTAGATATAACAAGAGGCTGAGGATAGGTAGTACATAAGTAAGTAATGGCTGAAGTGATGGATGCGTTGGAGACTGGCGTCAAAGTTGAGCTCGCATCAGCGTCGAAAAAGAACCTGAGGGCCCGCAACGGCGCTGCAATAGCCGATCTTTTACTGAGTTCGAGACCCCCCAAGACGAGGCTTACAAGACTTGCAAGTCAGGTCTAAAGGGCGTTAAAGTGAAGCGCCACAGACGCACCAACCCCTGCGGAACCGTGAAACAGGTCTAACTAGTCTAACCAAGCCCTTCTCAGTCAGTGTTTGCTCATGAGGCGCTGCGTTGAAACGACTATGAGGCAATCCAGGGGTTTTTACGATGGAATGGAGTAACTATCTATGCAGAGCGTTGAGCCACATGTTGCAGATCTTTCTTTTACATGATTCAGAGCACGATTATGACTCTCGCCATGATAAAAAAATATTATTATTTTTGGTGAAATCTAACTTTTGACGCTGAGGGAGTTTTGGTCTTACGAGGGTGGACTCAGTATGTCATCGTCCAGGTCCAGGTCTGCCCATGTCTTAGACGACGTCCAACCCATGTTAGTTTCCGCCTCGCGTGTGAAGCCGGAACTTCCAGAAACCACGTGTTGATGAAGACGGACAGAATCGTCGATTGCGATGTCATCAATCGTCGATTACAATGTCACCAGTCGAGAATCAACATGTCACCAGTCGAAAAGTTGCATATCTAAAATCGACGATTGAGATGTCACCGCTCGAGGTTTGATATGTGACCACGCCCAAGAGAAATGTCACCAACCGTTCGATTGACAGCTTCTACAGCCATTACACACTTATCGAGGCATAATTATCCCTGTCCCTGTCTCTAGCCCTATCCCCATCCCTGTAGACTATCGGCAGCCATACGCCATCCGTGTATCTTTGCGGCACCGCGTTGCAACGGGGCCATCGACCTCGGTCTCGCCCCTTCGGTATAACTAATACGTGATGAATATTCTAAGAAGCTGTTTGTTAGCTCAGCCAGCCTTTTCATAAGCAAACACTCTGAGTGGCTCGTTGCCGAGTCGTCCAGACCGTGTGGTTAAAACGCCACCAAGGCTGGGGTGTAGCCTGAGCCTGGCGGTGCAGATACAGCTGACTACTCCGCAGAGCCGTGTCAGATCATTCACTTTTACCTGCCAAGACTGAAAATATATCGCTCCTCGGTGTCTCTGTCGCTGCCGATGCCGGGGGTACCAGTTGTTCAGTGTAAGAGCTGCGGAGAATACCGAGATGGCTTCGCTCACTCGGGGACCCGAAGAACCCGGTGACTCAAAAGCCGATGGAGTCATCAAGTCCTGATTCAGCGACAGAGCTTACCTCAGTTTCTATTTCTACGTCTGTGGAGGTAAGGATTTATCCGTTGCTGCACTATCGTAATCGCTTCTTTGCCATACGAGATGTTTTAATGTTTAGAGACCACTTACACGTCATGTCGAAACAATTCTTGCATCTCAAACGCCTCTTCTACGTCAATTACACAAAAAACAGTTGGAAATAGACCCTCCAACGGTCTTGTGCCTCTTTACTTCAATTCATTGACCAGATTAGGACGACGTGGCTTCTCTACAGGCTAGATCTGCACACAATCCATATCGTGGCGTCAGTCATTACATTCGAGTTGTTTCGGCCTCACAGATTGTCTGAAGCTATCGGCATTTCGGATTGTTTCTGTGGCTTTTGAGCCCCTGGCTAAAAGATCTAAACGCCTCTTTCGCCTCACTCTTGACTCACAATTGCGCACTGCAGCTTGGCTGGTCATGATTGTGCTTTTATCGTGAAGCAGTAGTCGTAAAAAGGTTCCATTGTCGTGCATAAGCCCAGAGGGAACGTGCTGTGTGTCTGCAGGTTTGACAGTCCGGGTCCCCCTGTCCTTGGCTGTCAGAGCAGATCTGCACCAGGGATGTACCCCAGGCCAAGCCACCACGCGACTAAAGAAATTCTTGGACGGATTCTTCTTGGTTGATCTCTTGATTTAGGAGCTTGAGCTCCGTATCAATAAAAAGACACTGGTCGCCATCGGATCAAAGTGGTACTGTAAATGGGTCAACTCATAGAAAATATACAATGGATCAACAGAGACATGACAGACCATGATGATCCCCCACTATTTGTCAGTTCTAAGAACTCACCCAAGCTCGATTAGGCCGTCGTCTCACGCTAGAAGCTTTAGAAGCCAGACCAAGCTTCCTAGAAGAGTTTAGTACTTCAGCCCTCCAGCGTTACAATGTCCTGCCAAGGTCAGATCAGATGTAACCTCCCCCCTTGCCATTCCACGCTGCATGAGGATGTGGTTAGATCCAGAAGAACCAACAAAGCTTGGCTTGTTTCGCTGTCACGAATCCTCCTCGCGGTGCGGCCGACTCGACTGAGAAAACTGCTTGGATTGTTTCGTTGATGACTCGGGAACTTGCATCTTGGCTTACATCAAAGCTCTTCTTGTTCAACGGGGACGCCTTGTCTTTGGTGTCACATTGTGGAAAACCGCCAAGAGATGAAACAATGTTGGTTGGCAATACATTATACAGCACTTTAGTGACTTGTGAATAGAATAAGCCTCTTTCCTGTATAGACCTTCTCTTCTCAGGCAAGCCTCGTTCTCTTGGCCTTCGCTGCTTTCGCGCTCGCTTTCTTCGGTTTGTTATATCGCAACACCTTCAGCTCTACAGTCTCAGTAGTTCGCAACCTTTACTTTCTCCAATGGTCTTAGCAAAGTGTCGACCGTTACAGGAAAGGATGATTCTGTATTAGCTTGCTATGGTCATGAGGCGACCGTTGTTGTTGCCTCGTGGATAAATGCTGATGCCTCTTTGGGCAGAGCAAGAGAACCAACACAGCTGACTACGATGGCCACGTTGCTCAACAGCCTCTTTTCTCTATATCAGGAACACTAAGAGACTCAATTGGGCTACTATTGAACA